GAACATCAGAGCTAATAATAGTGAGAATTTTTACCACAATTAAATATTTAAGATTTCATTTTCTGGGGTACAAACAGATAAAAACATCCAATATTGACACTAGAGAAGCTGAAGCACAGAAATACTAATATTCATATATTGACACATCGGTTGTCTTTTTCCGATGATAGATAACATACTTTAGTTCTGTGGATGTGTGATCCTTTATTTTTCTGCTAGTTGCTTGTGTCAGTGTCACCAAACCTAACACGGAGCACCAGAACACATACAGAAGAGAGAAAAGAATCCGTGCTGCACGTTTCTTTAACATCAAATATGAAACGCTCACACAAACACAGTGCCTGATAGTGACGTCACCCTGCATCACAGAGAAAGGATCGCTTCCCCTGAGTCATTTAATCTATTACACTTAGTCAGAATTGGCTAAAAATTTATATAAAACCATGTCCAGGTGCTTCTTTTTGCTCTTCATGTTCCAGTTCCCACAATGAGTAAACTGCTCTGTGCGTGTAAAACTGATGGAATTCCCCTTTACAGACCTTCCACTTTGGGGACTTACAGCAAAACCTGCAGCTCGTTTGTCACATGCAGATAGCAGCACAACAGAACATCATCAAAGTGATATTTTCAGGACAGAAGCCTGAGCTCCTGCATTATTAACGAGACTTTACAACATTTCTGAAAGTGGGCGCCACACTCTTCTACGGGTAAAATAACCTCTGCTGCTGCTGCTGCTGCTGCTGCGACATTTTAATCAGGTTTTCCAAAGTAAAATGGCACAATTTCCCCTTTGTGACACGGTTTTTGAGTCAGGGGTGAGTCATGGAGGGTGTCGCGGTGTCTAATTCAGAGGCTTGGCTTACGGTTTCCCTGGTGTCAGTTCAGCACAGGACACGGTGGAGGGAAATGTTAAAAATTAAAGGCTGGGTGCAGGTTGGGTTCAGCGCTCTGTGGTTAGCAGCGAGGTTGAACCGCCGCAAGCACGGTTTATTTTGTAAATATGAAATAGTGTAACTGGGCACGGGTACACACAGCTGAAATAGTTACAAGAAAGGCTTGTGACTGATGTGTGACAGCATGTAATTACAAACCGCTCATGTTTCCTGTTTGAACCTGTGTGGCTTCGTTTCCACACATCATTCCTGTGATCAGCGCAGAAATGTTTAAAAATAACGGAAAGCAACTGTTTTCCCCAGAAATCAGCTCAGTGAGCAATCCGCTGACACTGCTGAATCATTTGTTGTGACTTTAAACTCGATTCTTCCCCGAAATCTAGTAGTTTCTCTGAATAGGGAAGGTAACGGCAGGGTTTCTTGGAAAGCTGCGCTGGTTATGCGGGCATGAGGGTCAACAGTAAGAGCTACGACGGGTCATCAGAGAACCATCAAGGCCTAGACTTTACCGACGTCAGCAGGAGTCATTAGTGGTGGCGGCCATTGGATAAAATAAACATCATCATCATGGAACATATGTGGGCTGCATGGTGGCTC